GTATTTCTTTAAAATTAGAACAGTTGTCAGGGTCCTTTAATTTCTTTCTACTTGTCTTCCACCAATAATGTGTTTTGTGTGAATGCTTTGTAGAGGTCTCTCTAATGCTTTTATTTTTTTAACAAAAAACAAACCAAACACCAAAAAAACAAAATGAAAAGTTTCTTGAAGGACTGGTAGACTCCAGGTCTGAGACAGAAGATGTGCAAGGTGAGCCCAGAACATTTTATAATGCTGAAAAGCAAAGAAACTGTATAAGGCTGTTAGAATTATGTCAGAAGGGCTGAGGAACAAGCAAGAATTAATTTTTTACAGGCTAAAGAGGAATAGTTTGAGCACTAATAACTGCCGTGGATTAAGACATCATTTATGTTTAAATCCATGTGTTAGTGATGTTACAAAAAAAAATCACAAAATATCCTCCATAAATTTTTGGAGGATGCTAAGGAACCGACTGGAAAGAATCAAAGTATTTATCCTGCCTTTCTGTTATGAACTTTTCCTCAGAATACTCAAGTAGAAAATGAGAGGAGGGAAATTTTCTCTTTAAGTATCACATCAGATAAGGAAAGAAGGAATGAAAGAAAATCACCATTTTGCAATCCACAATGAATTAATAGATCTAGGCATTGGAGACCAATGGCTGCTAACATCACGAGAAAAAAGACAACCACACATAACCAGGTGTAAGTGCACGTGAGGTATTCCTTCCAGAACATCAAACCTGAATCAGATCAAACTTCTAGACCTGCTAACTTATAGAGGATACAAGGGACCAAGGAACATGTCAATACCATGAGAATACATTCAGCAATTACCAGACTGTGAGAAACTGTGATAATGGCCCATAGTTTTCAACAGTTAAATTGTAAGGGAGAAAAAAAAAGAGATGGAAGGGAACCCTATGGATTAAAAAAGACTTGAGATATATCAGCCAATTGAAATGTATGTACCTTATTTGGATTTTGATTAAAATAATTATTTAAATTTTTTGGAGACAACTGGTAAATTTGAACACTGGCTAATTATTTGATATTAAGGATGTATTGTTGGTTTTGCTTATGTGTTTATAATGGTAGTACA